AGTCATTGAATAAGTGATTCTTGTAAGTACACACAAGCAAAGCAAAAGATATGGCTGAAGCAAGCATATTTAGTTGAGGGAGTGTGTGTGCATGTTCGAGAGAAAGCACCAGCCTTTTCAGTTAAGGGGAATTGGAGAGTACGCATGTATGTGTAGAAAAGAGAGAGAGGGAGGGAATGAGCAGAGAAACAAACGAAAGCTCCACATAGTGTTTAAGTCGTTTTAACACATAATTGATTAGGGATAGAATGATTAGGAGAAGTCCTCACACAGAGAAGAAATGTAAATAACAGCCCTCTTGATTACACATTACCAAAAACAATCCAGCCTTTTTAATTTGATACGAATTGGTCATACTGTTTGCCTAAAATTACTATATTGATAACTTTGGCTTCAATTCGCAGTCTCAAAATGAATTCTGAGGCCACAGCCACATAGCTCATGTTACTTCCTGCACAGTTGTATCTGTACCCCAGGTTTGTAGTTTTAAAGATGTAGCTGTGAATATGGAACAGACCCACAGAGAGAGAGACACACATTTGCCAATCAGTAATCACGATTCCCTATTAAAACCATGCTTAATGTTTACACATAATAACACAACTGTTTGTGCTTCTTCACTGAGGTTTCTAGTTGATTGTATCTCAGAAACTACAATTTTAACAAATGATACAGCCTACCTCTACATGTTTCAAAGCTAGTATTCAACATAACAGGTAAAGAAGTAAAGGCTTATTGTGACTATTGCCACAGCGAGATACTGTAAAACTGGAAAGGGAACAATGCAAGTTTTTTACTTTAGTGAAATGATTTTAAAAAAATAAGAAGTTATCAAATACAAGTTCCTCTTCATGATGATATATTTGTGTAAAACATTCAATTATTTTTGTATGAAATGCTACATGAAGGTAAGAACAATAAATCCATACAGCATTCATAATACTGAAATGTTGTTTCTTAAGTATATTTTACATTTTATATTAACACATGAGCTTGTAAATCAAAGAAAAACAATATATATACATATATACGTATTAAGTGAGAAGAAACTTAATATATTTCATTCTGAGTTGTGATACACATAACTGTGACATTCATGTAATTTTCAATTAATGAACTTTAAAGGCAACACTACATTTTAAGGAGGATTTTTTATCATTTGCTAAAAATAGCATTTTAACATAACTATTTACTAATTTTAAAAAGTTAAGACTGCTCTTTTCTCAGACTAATTTAATTGTCTTCTGGGGTGGTATAAACAAGGGCAAACATGACAGTTATGAAAGCAAAAAAAAAAATCACGATTTGACATTGTTGGAAATATACTTGCCTTCTTGGCAGACCTCACTGGAACCATAATAGGAAAAAACAAAACATTCACAAAGGAGACAGAAGGTCAGGAGAATAGTAGATACAAATTAAATAACTTAACAGAAAATTTTCTATAGTTAAAAAATCTTCTAATAATTATTAAGTTACTTAGTAAGCTGACCTCTTTCACTGTACTCAGTACATCTTTCTGTGAATGAACATAAAACAGAGGTTATCATGCTCTGCTTTGGTTTATACCAAGTTGGGCCCATTATTCTATGTTTGCTTTTATTCAAATTTGGTAAAAGAAATACAAATATTTCTAAATTTTTTCACAGATGATTTGTAGGTATGTTTGGAACAAGTTTTAGATGAAAGAATTCAACTGATCCAATTGTTCACAAAGTAAGAACCTTTAGACAAAAAAATTGTCAACCAACCAAACAAACAATTCTGTGATTATAAACCATTTAAATAAGGTATTTGAAGGCAAACATTCTATATGACTAATAGAATTTCCTAAGCATTACTATAGATTTCTGAAACTATGCAAAAAATCAAGCCAAAATAATGACAATTTAAATAACCAGAAGTGTGACATAACATAATCCACTACAAAAGTAATGCAACTCTATATTATAACTACAGATGCTAATATATTGTTATTTACACTTATATGTTGGAAATCTAAAATAAAATTTAATTAAAAAAAACAAAAACAAAAACAGTTATCCCTTGTCATTCACAGTTTTACCAGTCGAGGTTTCCAGTATTTAGGGTACAGCTGCAGTCCACCCTCAAAGCTAGTGCAAGGCTTACACTGTGCTGCATTTCGCATGCCACGCACCACAGTATCCCACGTGTTCTGTCTTTGTTCAACCATGGTGTTTCCGTGCAAACCTTATCATGTAACCTCTCGGAGTCCTCCACCTGCTTCCTCTGCCACCGCTACCTATATTACTAATGGTATTCGCGGTTTTAACATTCTTGGCAATTTATAGAACCTATCCCCCATGAATGGCAAGGTATAACTGTAGTAGCTTATTTGAATACCTTATCTTAATTTATATAAAACTGGCAAGTACACTTTTTTTTTATTTGCTAAAACATTCAAACCAGAACATGGATCAGGTTTTTGATGATAATTCTGCTTCTGTCTAACAAAGGGAAAAAATATTCATTTACCTGAGGTAGAAAAGGTTAAATTACAGACTCCCCACTTGCACAACAAAGGACAGAAAGAGTGAAAATTAAGTTTCCTAGTAAACTGATATATTTTTTTTCATACTTCACCCTTAAGTAACATTGTCACAACACATATCTATGAATAAAGTATTTTAAATCATTTATTTGAACAGGTTCTCTTCTGAAATTCTCATTGGTGAGATTGATTTATCTTCTTTTCTTCCATGTGTTAAAACTTTGAAGACAAATTATAAACCACCCACTCATCCATAGATGGCTCAAACACTAGACATAACAGAGAAAAAAAAAATGTATTTCACTTACCCACTTGAGATTTATGATGTGGGTTTATTGACAGTCCTAGTGTGTTGTGTGTCTTTTCATATTCCAGCACTTCTTCATATATAAGTGCTGTAATTTAAATACATCAAACAATTTTTACCTTAATCGTAAAAGGCACATCTGTGTTTAAATTGTTCATTCTTTGTGGTGACTATTTTATACAAAAATTACAATTGTAAAATTACTGATAATTAAGTATTATATCTATGGAAATGAACGTGTTAAAGACCCTTATATAAAATAGTTTCAGTAAGGTCAGTTATACAAGTACTGATAACCATTTAAAGAAAATCTCAAAAATATGAGTGTTTCTAGAATCTATTTCTATATTTACATTTTTAAATATTTACTGAAATACAAGTTAGTTTTAACTGCTGAAATCATGATAAAATACTTAAAACTGTTGACCAGGTACAGATTCAGTCAAAGACAAAAGGTTCACGTACCTTTCTTAATTTTTCAAAAATAAAAAACACATATTATAATAATAATTACCTTTCCACTGTTCAACTGTATGTTCCCTCTCATCCACTGAATGGTCATATGGTGCTGGGGCAGGCTGTAATGTTATACCATTTTAATTCTTTTAATACTCTAATATTACATATGTGCAAAGACATTTTTGAATATTAGTCTTGTACTAAATTAAAGCCTAAAACTGACCATGCAGGTTTCTATTTCTGAAATCTGAATGAGCTTTAAGTCAAAATGAATACTTTTTTGACTCCCCACCAGAGGGTTAAAATAAAATATATGAATTAGACCCCATATAAGCTTTACCTTTCAATTAATGGACTTACAATACATATTTTGTCTCATATTTTTTAACATTAAGCAAAAAATTCACACATACTTCATTGTAAAATACTGAAGTAAACCTATAACCAGGAATTGTTTTTATGAAACTTATCTCAGGTACATGCACATGAATAAATGAAATAATCAAGTAGAATGGTAAACATGTTTTGACAAGTAAAAGTCTAAATAAGTGCATATGAAACTCTAACAGAAATGATAGCTTATTATCCACATACTTACAGCATGGACCTCACTTTCCTCATACCATACATTAATGTATGGATGTGAAAGTGCCTGATCCACTGATATTCTTTTCTCAGGATCTATTATTAACATCTTGGATAGCAGATCTCGAGCTTGACTAGCTGTAAATAATTAATAAATTCAAATGTTATGTGTGAATGTTTAATATGAAAAACATTTTGATACATTAAGAAGAAGAAGAAAAAGAACACTTGTTTTTCTGTTTGATGTTATTTCTTGGGAAGATGCTTCCACAATGTAACTAGAAATATTTAAATGCTAAAGCATAAGAAATTTAGGAACTATCCAAAACATTATAACGAGGAACAGAAAGTGAAGCATCACAATAATTTGTAAATGTTTATTAATATAAAGTCCAGAATTCTCTAGAAGGTTATAAAATGAGCTACAGCATACTGGTGTGTTTTAAGACATTTTATCTACTTTATACTATTAAATGTTTAACGATATCAAAGACTGTTATTTATATATTGTTCAAGATAATAATAAATGTTCCTTCTAAAAATTAACAATTTCCTATTTAAACAAAATTACAAAATATATTTTATTGAGAGCTATACCTTTTAGTCTACTATGTTCTGAACTGTCAGCAGGAAAAAGGAGATCTGGGAACATCTTTTCAAAAGAGTAACCTGTATATTTAGGCCTATTCTCCACATAGTTTCGAACAGTGGGTTGTAGTCGCCTCATAAAATCAGGGGAAGGAGTTCCAAACTGTTCAATGATTTTATTCCACTGGTCAATATCTAAGCAGAAACTAAGGAAAAAAGGTAGATGCTAGCAAATGCATGAGTACTAACAAAAGTCACACTGATAACGCAACAATAAAATAGAATAAATAAACATTGTGATACACCAAAATAAGTTTATTTATACTAATATATGCAACACAGGGTTACATCCCATTTTTAACACCTTTTCTGTCCTCTTTTCTAGTGGGAGAAAATATTTTGTAATAAAAAATTCTAAAATATTTCTTTGAAAAAAAACACTACATTTCACAATGCAAATTACTGTAATCATTATAACTATTTATTACTTATATAGTTTAACAACATAAAAACCTAATGTAAATGGTACAGCTTGGATATGAATGTAAAAATGTTATTCACAGCAGTAATTAAAAAAATCTGTAATGGGGGGGGGGGGATGGGCTCAAGACCCTGCTTTCTTGCCCTTATGCTCCAAGAGTGTCCTTTTTTCTCTGTCATTAAATTTGTTGACAACTAATTATTTCTAATACTGTAGATTGTGACATGTAAAAATTCTACTTTATCCTAAAGTTATAAATAAGTTATTCGAAACATCAAATATACTATTTTTAGGCACAGGACTAATGATATTCGTAGCAAACATAGCTTTAATTTTTTAAAATTATTAACTGAAAATGGTATGTTCTTTCAAGTCTAATAATATATATATGTTCTTTACAAAAAGAAAAAAAAAAGAAAAATATCGCCATTCAGTTATAAAATCTAATTATATGAAAATAGTAATAAACAATTGTACATAGTTTTGCTAATTATAATTTTATATATTAATCTCCCACTCTTTTTGTAAGACTTAACTTTTTATTTTCTTATACACTATGATCATGATTATATAATGCTTTGAAAGATACGATCAGTCCCTGGAAAGAGTACACCTCCTCGAATCATTTCTCCCATGATACAACCAACTGACCAGATGTCAACTAGAAAATTAAAATAAAATATTTCGTAAGGAGGAAGGCAATACATAACACATTACAATAAATACTGATTCACACATACTACTATGTGCAATAAAACTTACAGACTGGTCATAAAAAATGTTTGCAGTAAAATATAACTGTTCTTCAAAAGGTAAGTAGTTGAAAATATTTAAAATTTCTTGAATTTCACTGCAAGCTGAGCAACTATATACAGTAAAGTATGAAATGTGTATTTAAAATTTCTGTTACATGACTATTAAGATTACTAAAGTAAAACTAGCATGCTAGTCGAACTTTTAAACTACACTTAGTTTTGTTTCAAACTAATCATAATTTTACACAGTGCTACAATAGTGCTAAATGCTGCAAAGCACAAGAAGACTGAGCTTGATATTCTGTAGTCTATGTTTTAAGCCAAGAAAAAAAATTACAAACAAAAAAGGCTTCTCAAAATAGCTTTCTTACTACTTTTGTTACCATAAGATCTAAGTCCCCCCCCCTTTCCTACTTAGATCATATAAGATCCAAGTTCCTCTCCTACTTTTACCACCATAATAGTGTGACCACATTAAAAACCACAAGTTTCCAGACAAAGTTCCAGATTGAATTACTCGGCACTAAGCAGTATGTTTGCACGCATGAGCAAGTTATGAGATAAAGAAGGAGGAAGAAACAATTTTTCCCTGACTTTATTCAACTTTTCAGGTTTTTGTGAGAATTATTAATTCTTTCTAACTTTTCCTTAACTTTTTTTTAACTCTTATTTCTATGATTCCCTCTTATTTTTATCACTGTGAACTCTGTTTTCCTACTACTATTGTCATCATAAATTCATGGGTAAAAGCATCCAATGGTAATTAAGACTGAAATGTATCTACTGGCTGGGGGTTTGAGGGCTATTTTGGATAATTTTCAGTATCAAATTCTATCTTGACTTTATAGGAAAAAGAAATTCAGAAATCACTTACAACTTGTCATGTTACCAGATAGACCAATCTGATAACCACACAAGGCTAACCAAATTTTTTTAATGTTAATAGTAAATCTTTTTACATGTATGCCCAATTAATTTCTTACAGACTCAGTTGCACATAAAAAAATTAACCAACTATGACCCTTTCTTTGTAGAAATTATAATGGTTGGAAGCTTAGGCAAATAAAGATTAGAACAGTGCTAACAGTAAAATTCAAAATGTGTTTATTTCACATTAAATTTAACACCTGAGACATGAACCAGCCCAGCATCTTTTAGTACTGAGCCTATGATAAACAGGGATGTTATTCCATAAACTGGTGATTTAGGGTTATTTCGATAGATTTCGATAAATGATGCTTCACACAACTTCTAAAATGAAAAAAATATATAAAAAATAAATATTAATAAAAATATATGTTTCAACTTCAACTCTGCATCTTTTGGCTTTGCTGTGCCTTTCCTTTCATAAAATATTGAAACTAATGATTTATTATATATGATTCCAATCCCCCCTTTTGAAGATAATGATACTATTGTGCCTGTTTTTTTATGTTTTGCTGCCAATGCAGCAATTAATTGATGAATCTCCAATTCAGCTGGTATGTCAAATTGATTGGGATATCTTCAAATAAATTCTTCCCTAATCTGACCTGGACCAACAGTTTAGCATAACTGCTACACTTAAACCATCATGTTCAAAATCACAACTAGAACCGCTAAATCATTTTACTTTACATTTTTCAAGTTAACTTCTCCATATTAGCTCTTATGGTTTCGGATCAGGTCACAGGGCTGGTCCAGCAACCTAGACCTTGAAAATAGTGCCAAATGTCTTCTTCTTGTCTAATCAAAACAATCCAAAACTTTTCAGAGTGACTCTTTTTTTTTTTTATCCATATCAATGCCGAGCTAGCTCACGTGGCAAGTGTTAAATTATGCTTTGTAATCATGCCTAGGAAAGGCCATTTTGTTGGAGAATTTTCACCCATGTAAGTTCCTAACTATTTTTGTCACCATAAGTTCTCTTATCACTTTTGTTACCATTTTTGAGGGAGTGATGAAGTAATAAAGCTCTTTGAGTCCTGAATTTATTTATTCACATTTTGAAATTATTAATCTAAACATCATTTGTACTATTAGAAATCTTACACACTACTCTACTCTTTAAAGTTTTTATTTTTTGTTATCCAGCACAAAAATATTGCTTTTAGAGTGTCATTCTCAAAACAGTTAATCATAAAGGTTTAAAATAATTTCATCAGTAATATAGATTGATTTCAATTCTTTATCTTAGCAATTTACCTAGGTGTTATTTTCTGTTAAAAAAACGTTTATAGTATTCTTTAATTAAGAAAATGTTACACATAACTGTTAACTACATCAGTGTAGCTTGAAAATTTTAAAATAAAATTAATAACATAAATTAACAGACTAATATAACTATGTACACCAATTTCAGCACATGATGTTCTTCCTACATGGTTGCTGTCTGGTCTGGCCATCTTGGTGTAAAATTTCTTCTCTTACAAAATTCCCAGCCAACCCAAAACTAGTTAGGATTAAGGTCGTTATGGAGAAGAAGAATTTCAGCATATGGTGTTAAGACATATTCATATTTTTTTGTTTCATATTCAACTTTTCTCATTTAAGAGTTGAAACTTCAACACATCTTAAAATGTGCCCAACATTTAGATAAACAAATTATTTGTTTCGTTTACATTTAGAACCCATTAGTTTATGTTCAAGCACAAGATGAACTGAACAAATACACATAGGTTTTTGTAAAATGAAAATATGGTCACAGCACAACTGTTAGAGAATATCAACTCAAATCATCTCTGCATTTAGGAGAGAACTAAGTAACATTTATAATTCAGTGGATTGGTTAAGTTTTTTGTGTGATAAACTAAATACTTTACCAATGTTTTCAGATTCCTATAAGTTTTAGATTCCTGTATGATCAGGACACTATACCTTAAAGAGTATACAACACAGATTCGAGTGCATTAAATTTAGATTTCACATTAAATCGATAAAAATAGCATAAGTTTCCGAGAGTTTATGTTTGGAAACATAAAATACACTCCAATTTTATGGAGATTTTGAAAAATAAATATTTAGAATTTTTTTCTCTTTATTTTCCAATTCTTTTGATGACTGTTTCAATTCATTTATAGTTATAAATACTGCTTTTGGTAAGTATTGGGAATAAATCATAGCTTTTGCCACAAATTAGTTCATATGTATATATGAATATTTTTAAGAGTACATAAGCATAAATCAACTTCTATCATATAAATGGAGATCTGAGTATCATAAATGTTACATATATTTTGCATGCAGTATGTATATTTAGAACAGCAAGAGTTTCACAAATTAAAAGAAAAAATACTAGTAACCTTTGATTAACACATGTACATATGTAAACAAGAAATGCAGCAGTACCTAATGTGGTTAACGTTAAGTAAACACCCTTTGTCACACTTATAATAAAATCTCACAAGTGCATGTAATGTGTCTACTGGTGACTAAAGAAAGTAAAAATAGAAAACTGTGTTAAGTAAGTCACATGCTAACTAGTGTATTCATTTGTAATATTCAACTTCAGGTGAACAGCAAAAGCAGGGCTAGTAAACTGTGGAGAAGTCATGTCTTAAAGAAGACTGCTTTAATGATTAGGCCTTTAAAATGTGTAGGAAAGCAGACAAAAAAAATATCTCTCCACATATTTGTTTCCACTTTATATTTAAAGATGTTTCTTTTTCATTTTTTATGTAGCAATAATGCTCTGTATGTAAATAAATTAAACAAATATCTTCAATGATGACATGGAATATCCACTGTGATCCTTTGCTATAACAAGGTATATGCCTTTTTTCAGAGATAATAGGTTGCCATCCTACATTAATCATGAGAACAAGGACAAACACTAACCATTATCTTTATAACCCATTCCTAGGATGACTTCTGGAGCTCTGTAATAACGTGTCACAACATAAGGGGTCATCATAAAGGTTGTTCCAGCTGTTCTAGCTAAACCAAAATCTAGAATCTTCAGGGTACAGTCTGACTTCACTACTATATTACTGGGTTTTAGATCCTGGAGGACAAGAGTAGAAAGCATAAAAAAATACAGAGAGAACACTGATTTCTATAAGTATTATCATTTAATAGTAAACAATGAAACTCTGAACATTTTGTTATAAAACAAAACTGTACAGTATGTGCGCTTAAACCAGCAACATCCAGAAACCATAATACATATACACAGAAAAAAAAAGTTAATAAAGAGACATTCTGCCTGTCTCCCATAAAAATATTTATTTGTTATATATTTGCATAAAAGTCCTAATTTTATCTTCTATGAAACTTCTTAAGTTTTGCTGAATTAATTTTTTTATGCATAAGTATAATTCATTAATTATCCTTTATACTTTCATTTGTTTAGTTAATTATAATTTCTGTTTTTGTAGATATGTATTAGAATAAGAATTTTTTATCACAGAATGTTATTAGTATATATCTTGTGGTTAAAAGTATACAAGTTAGTTAGATCACAACTCAAAAAAGTAGGTTATATATTAGCAAAGCAAATCTTATAAACTTATAGAAGTACATACTGCTATAAATCAATAAAAAACAACAAAAAACTGAAACCTATAACAATTAGAATGAATTGATGCTTATGATGTATTTTTCTGTAAACTTACATTAAACTATTAGAAAAACAAATCTTACAAATTTGATTTAAATATACCACTTGCAAGGACAGTCTACAAGTTCATTGCTTTTATCACATCAAAAGGTTTAAAATTAAAAGCACTGTTTTAAAATGAAAGAAATTTGGCAGAGAATATTTAACACACTGAAAATAAAATCATAAAAAGTATTGAATTCACAGATAACCAGCAGTCTCCAACAGTAACCAATGCACAGAGACTTAAATAGTGGTGAATAAATAATTTGAAACAATGATAAAATCTTGAAAAGTTTAACAAAAACAAAACATTAATCGTGAATTAGAATAAATCTATATAGACTTCCATAAAAGTTAACCAATAATCTGTTATAATACTCAAAATAACTCTCACGGAAATAAGCAGCCAATAAAGAGTAAGAATCAAACCACAGACCTTTATACAGAGATTGAGGACATTTTATTAAAATGATTTTGGAACATCAACACACTATTACAGTCCATGTTGCCACACCTGGTTATGCTTTATGCATCTTTACAACAGCCCTGCAGCTTAGATTCTATTGCAAAAGGTTCTGTCATAAGGCTGTGATATTCGAAGCTTACCATCATCCATCTAGTGCAAAGTTTCCCAACCTTTTTCATTCAGCAAACAATGAGTGCTCATGCCCCCGTCTAAAATTTTTTAATATAAGTGTCAAAAGTGGTGCCAAAAGAGATATGCTCAACAACTGGACAAAAAGCATTGAGGTGGACATTGCTTGCCACAAACACACCCACACAATGATTTTGCTCAAATGTGTTGAAACAAAAACCCCTATTTCTTATGGTTTAATTTTAACAAATATAACTTTGAAACCCTCAAATCTTTTCTGTCTGCTCCATTAAAGTTTACTGCCCCCCTGAATTTTAAAAATGCCCAGGTAGGGAAACACTGATTTAGTGTATGAGAATGGTGGTTTTTCCAATGTCCGATTAAACAATCTAATCACCCAAAAATTCATAAGCACTATATCCAACAATTCGACTGGCATGTCTTTGTGTAGAATAGAATTAATACCCACTTCATGCTGAAGGTGCTTGAGGTATGTAATAGTTGAACAAGTATGTCAAGGAAGCAATTTATGTACATGTGACTTGTGTCTCGTTTCACGGATCTTTCTTCATTATGCTGCATACTATTGACTGGCAAATGCGGACAGCTTTCACCAATGTTTTTTGTTCCCAACATGCTCATGACACTACATTCTCTACCATGGCTGGTGTATGACTTGTTGCAGGCCTGTTTCATGCTAGTCCTGGTACCCCACGTTGATCCATATTTCATTGTTGTCTAATGCCATTAAATGCAAGAAATATCCATGTCTTGGACATTCTAAAGCCTTATTATGACATTTTTATGATCTGTGTTTATGAATATTTTGCATTCAAAAGGATTATTACATACCTTTCTAAAAGTGATCAATTTTCAGTGGCATCACACTGCCTATAAAATGCCAAACAATGTCAAAATGTAGTTTTGATGCATTCTGTTCCACCTCATCTATATATCAATTGTATTTGTCAATTGTCTTGTTGATTTGCATGTTCAAAATCACTTGAACATGACATACTCTACTCTCTAATTCAGAATAATAATCACATTCCAAACTTTTGTAAGAAGAAATTAACATTTGGGAATAGTAATTACCAAACCATGAAGACTCCCACAAGAATAAACCACTAACCTAGAATAATAATAAAAAAATTAAAAGAGTTTTTGTTCAAAAGAAATTTGTCAATGTAAGCAAGTGAAAGATTACTCGCACATCTGATACTTACCCTATGGATAATGCCTGCAGAGTGGAGATGTTTAATACCACACAGCATCTGGTAAAGAAGATAGGACATTCGCTCATGGTCCAAGTCCATTTGAATTACTTGGCACAAATTTGCATCCATCAATTCCATTACAAGATATCTGATTATAATAAGAAATGGTTTAAACCTAATGTCTATCATGTAATTAAAATAATTATAATTTTACTATGATCTTCTGTTCATTTTATTTTAAAATTATTTTTTTACTCTGCAATCTACATAAACTTTACTTGAAAATAAATATCCACAATAATGTCAATTCTGCAAAATAAAGTAGATCAAATTTCTGGATTTTTATTTCCTAAAGAAAAACATCTGATTGAAGCAAATACTTGCTACACCTCACAACATTTAACCATTAACTTTTATGAAGCAATTTTACTTCAGCTCTAAAATATATCTAAATAAACTCAAAGCACAATTTAATCATCAACATATTTCAGAATGACTACTTAAAAGCTGTGATTATAAGGACAAGAAGCTACAAGATGTGAATTCTACCTACAAGTGATGACCACATAATAAACTTTTACTATAAAAGTTGTTTTACCTCCAATGAAACTACCATAGAGCGTATTTGCAAACATTAACTCTTCTATTGTGAAATCCTTAGTTTTTTCATGAGCACCATGTATGTTGTTTATAATTATAAAAACTTGATTAACAATTAAAAATAGTAGTTTAAAGACAGCACAAGCTATTTCACCATACAAACTATTGTTGTTTATGCTGAAATTTTTAGATCAATTTATTGTCATATTTCAAAGTGTTTAAACCTTATATTTTGTGACAGTACTATGCAACATGCTAAAGGTACCCACTGAACAAAAAATCAGATGTGTTACAAAAGTACTTGTACTCAAGATATGTCTGTGAATTGATGGCATCAGTCTGACTCGGACAAGTTGGAATGAAGGTGATATTCATGTGAAGAATATAAACACTTTTGTACATCATAAGGTTTATATATTGCATTTGCAAAACCTCTAAGAACCTCCAAAAAGCATAATTACAGTGTTTTCAGTATCCAAGTATTTTGTATCTGGTATTTACTCTCTTCTACTGCAAACTATTGCTAAATAAGCAACTTAGGGTAAAATGATGACTGACATCAAATACATAATGCTACGTTGAATAACACTCTGTAAAAGGTTGTGGTGTGTGCATTTTAACCCACACCTATGTGCATAGAGTTAATGATGAACTAAGAGTATACCTTCAAAATAAGAGAACCTCTGAAGATGGTGTCATTTGTACCCAGTGCCATCAATAGTATTATGACCTTGCTAAATGGTGACAATAAGATAGACAGAAGTGGTCAAAGCTACACACTCTATTGATGGTGAATACTTTAAGTTGACTGAACTAACCGAGTCTCAGTTTGATGACCTGTCTTCTGGGATTTCATCTTTGAGAAATATGCATGTAAAATCCATGTGAACTTGTTTGGGGACTCTCTCATTAAACTCTATAATGGGTCATCCAACATACTTCTGTCTACAATTCTGGCTTTGTAAAATATTTTTGGTGTAAATACATTTGGCCTCATTCTATTTCTGTGGGCAATTTTGTTCTTCTGTATCTTGAAATTTAACATATTAACCACCAATAATTGATGTCTAACCTTACCAGTCCTTTTGCACTGGCCCTTGTGGAAGAAGAGAATGATGATGCTGCCATCCTAGTTTTATATGGCACATATGTGCATATAATAGAAAAGTATTAAATATCCCTTGGGGCAAAGTTACAATATGCACAAACAGCAGCCACTTGTCAAACCAATGATGGTTGCATCCACTGATGTGTGTATTATATTGGTTCTTGGTCCATGTCATTTTGACGGATGAAATAATAACAATGTAGCAATTACTCGCATATCCCAAAATGATATTGTTACTATTTGCACCTATATAGAACCACATGATTTGGCTGTTGTGGATAGAGGATTTAGGAATTCATTGGATCTCCTCTATAAAGTGGATACAAAAAACTTAGATGGCATTCTTTCTGAAAAATGGGTGTGTAACTTGCATCCTAACAAAGAATTCAATCTTTCAAGGCTTGTCAGACAGATGCATGGGTGGTAAAAGCAATAAACTACTGAACATGATGCCACCTAGCAGACTCCTTTTAGAGGTAAAGGAGATTCTTTGAGAATTGTCAATGCTTTTTGAACTTGCTATTGCCCTGCTCTCATATAAAGCACAGAAGCTGAGTTTGCTTTCATGTAATGCATACTTTAATCAAACTGGTGAAACAACTCAAGAGTCTGAAAGTTTAGCACAAAAGAGGTCAATGTGGAAAAAATGAAGCCGGTGAAGTGGTCTTTGACCTTCCATAGCTGCCGAAGAATGTCTGCAGTCACTAATAAAGTATGTAAATCAGCTGAAGTAGGTAGTATCACACAGATAAATATGTCTATCACAGAATGAGCTGTATAGCATGAGGTTAAGTAACAACAAGAATGGTGTTCTCCTTCCAAAAGTTTCAAGTAAGGTGTACCTTTCTGGATTCTGCATGACAATTAGAATACCTATGCTAGCTTCATAATGTCTCTGTTGAGCAGATGCAAGAGTAGCGAGGTGCTGTGCACAAATAACATCAGTAATGTGTCTCCTTGGACTCAACTGGCACAAGAAACACTGGCTCACAATCAGGGCTGCATTAAAGTACAGTGCTGCCCAAGGCAGATATTTTTTGCCGCCCTCACCACCTATTTACTATACTATTAATTTTCCTAACTTTTATAAGTAGATTAGGAAGCAGATATATTTTGACTGAAAAAAAAATTCTAGACACTCCAAATGATAGAACAGCTTTTTTGAGGAAAGGAGGCAATGCCATATTTTCAAAAAAGTACTTACATAATATTTTAATTAATATATGATATTGTTTTTTTTTTCATTATTGCCCATTAATGGAGAGTGTTAATTTGAATACTAATTATGAAAAATAATGGATTAAATATATTAATTAAAAAAAGGTATTTAAGTAATTATTCACGTGATTGCTCTAGAAATGAAGCCTTTGTATTAATTATGTTATTAGTCACGTGATCAGTCACATGATCGCTCGGCACTCTTAATTGGTATTTTGATCTGGTGCAACAGGCTGCAGTGATCCCGCATTACAGAACTAAATAAAAACATATTTCATCATATTTTTGCCATTTTCGTTTTAAATATTTCTTAAATTTGCTGCCCTAGGCAGCTGCCTACTCTGCCTATGCATGAATGTGGCCCTGCTAACAAATCAAACTTCCATACTTATGGTGTTCAACATGCTGCAGAAATCCTCATTGACAATTCTGATAAGCCAGACAATGACTAAAGGTGAAATGTGAACACTTAACATACATGATTTACAAAATTTGATATTTTCTATGGGTGAGTGATGGACAAGATAAAAGTGATATTAATATTTATGGGTTTTCAAGATCTGTGAAATAAGGTGAACAAAATATAAATAAATTTAAAGATTAGGTAAAATTCACATTTTAACACCCTTGTCCATTTTCAAATAAAACGTCCAAAACGAAATGAATGGGTTAAAAACTAATCATATAATCTCAAAATTTACTTAAAATATCAGTTCTTCTCCTAAGTTAAACAAGTCCTGGCTTAATTAATCTCATCACCATTTTTAATAATGAAATTCAAACAACTAATGCAATGCTTGACAAACTTTAATTGACAAATATTACAAACTATTATAATATTTACAAAACTAGTGACACAACTATGTTAAAAAAGATAATTGTATGTAATCATACTGTAAAATAATCTAAAATTACAAATGTTCTTTTATTCTTGGTCAGGGATAACTTAAAAAGTTTTGTGGAAAGTTAACTTCAAGCCTAAATCATTAAACCATACAGGTTTTACAAATTCTACTTCTTGTTGAATAAGTGATATATTTGTTATATAATTCTCCATTAAATAATTGATGTTAATTTTGAAGGAGTTAAGCTCAAAATTGAATTAAACCTTCAACACCAATATTATTTAAAAACAGCCTTTGATCTGAGTATGACAGCAAATCTACTTTAATGCTGGGAACTGCATCAATACTTTTCAAGTAACTTTTAACAACAACCTTTTAAAACTATAGAATATATGAATATTAAAAATGAGACTAACACAAAAGTCTATTCAGTGTGAGAATTGAAATTTCATTCACAAACACAACTATCAGAGTTTTGTCTAAAACAAGGAAATACCAGAAAAATTAACTTACAAAAGAAACTGTTAAGCAATAAAGTAATTATATACATTTCTTCAATGGATTTGAAAAAGAACTAACTTAATTATCATAATTATTTTCTCATTATCTTTACATTTATTCCATCAATTCAAGACTACTGTAATACTGAAACTACAAAGTATGTCACTATTTTATGGCTGTAAAATACTCCAAGAATCTAAAACACTTTATTTCAATTCATAAATACAGGCTTTTTTCACATTTATTAAACAAAAAATTGTAACTGTAATCAAACTTTTACAGAAGTAATGTATTTTTATAATTCATGAAAATATATATTTGAAAGCTTACTTTTTCAGCAATATAGTGAAACCTCAGAAAATAGTTTTTAAGAATTTTAATAATTAGCCAATCCAGAATCAAATTATTTTATGTAGAATAATATAAATACATGCATAAAATAAAACAATAAAGTGACTACAAATGATCTTAAAAACATAAAAACTACAACATAAGCTAGAACACTCACACATCTTGAAATTCTTCTAAGGTTTTTTGAGGGGTAAATGCATTCAAAAGACCTATAATCTGAAATGGGTAAAGGGTAAAACACAGTTATACAAAACATAATACTATGCAAGTTTTACTTTAACAACAGTATTAAAATATACTGTGGTCAGATAGTATAAAAACTTCTTTTAGTCAAAAATAAATAATCTAATGGAAACTTAAAAAAATGAACACAGATATCAAGAACATTCAGTCACAACTACGTTTATTTCATTTTGGGGGCTAACAAGTGCAATAAACATCAAAACAGAATTAGAGTTATTCTAACTAAATCAATATTAATAGATCCAATAAGAGTTCCTAGTATTTTGTGAAAAATACTGTTTTAAGTGTTTTGTTTGTAGTACAGCATTGCCAACAAAACCTCTTTCTTCACACCAGAGTCAATAGAGCACTCACAGTATCAATTAAAAAAACAGTAAAAAATATCATACGACAATTTGAATATAACTTCTAAAAGTGATTTGATTAGAGTCTGGCAATCAACCCAATTACATCAACAATTGTAAAATAATAGATTAATCAAAATTACAATGAAATCATTTAATGTCAGGACATAATCAAATAACTGAAATTAGTGTTTCTGATTATTAGCATTTTTGAATATTTTAAGTATCCAAGTAATTTAAGTATTGCCATTATGATTTCTCATTATTATTTTTAATTAACTCAAGGCTATTCAGCTTAATCGGTTACTGTTACAACTCATTAAAATAAACAAATAATGAAAATAGGGATTTTCAATTATTCCACCCATCTATGTAACATGAGAATAAGTAATTAGTTTAATTTAATCAATCAATGAGCCCAACAATTATTCAGTTATCAAATTCCTCTAACTGCCTAGCTTTAGATGTGATATGTTGTTTAATTGTAGTTATTGCTTTAAATGAGCCATTCTTTGCCAGCTTAGGCATTTTTACATTATACCTATGTTTGCTCTGTTTTGAAGGTGGCATGGCAACAACAGATTCTAAAGTATGCTGTTAAGCTTACTAGAGACAAGAAAATACCTCTCTTACTGAATATTAAAAGCAACTGTGCAAATATGCATGGAGATAAAACTTATATAATAATAAATAAAAAGTGGTTACCCTACACTGTCATATTTCTGAAAATGTTGGTTTGTGAAATAGCGTAATACATATATTGTGGTAATTTATGGCACAATACTACCAGATTTACTTAGGTTTTTATGAAATGATGTGATAAGATTATAAAATCTAAACCATAAAATTTTCATGTAGTTCTACACACACACACACAATATATATATACTCTATTATATAGCAAAGTGATAACAACATTCAGCCTGCTTGCATCATATTTAATATGTATTTTATCATTTGTCAAATAGCATAGGCTAGGATTTTGATTTCTTCTACTTGTTTTAAAATAAATAGATTTAGTCACAGCCACATTTTTTAAATACTGATAAATAAAATTTCCAAAATAATAAAATGAAAGTCACTCCTTTTCCTTTATTTTTGGAACTTATTTCAAATTTTGCTTTAACGAATAGCAATTCACATTTGAAAAAACTCATTTTTGAAACAATTCACATTGAAGAAATTCTTGAACTATGCCAAAATGAATCAGGTTGCATGTACAGGAAGAATTACAAACATCTTATGGCACTTATTTGGGTAAACACTGGCTATTAAAGAAAAGTATGAATTAAACCTCTTGAAAGTAAAATTTCTTTTAAATATTTCAGACTATATACTGTAGGTATTTGAAAAAATTAAACTTTTGAGTAATAAGTCACTATTAAAGTGTAAAATGCTCAAGATAGAAATGCAAGAAATATATCTCAGCTCAACAAATATGTTAGAATGCTATTACTATTCATGTTTGTTTGCTTTTCCTTTTTAACATTAAAAATTTCATACTAAAGGTGTCTGAAAATATTGTTTTACATAATTAAAAATTCATCATTTGTCATAGGTTCTTATCCAGTAAGCCTTCTTTCAACATCAGGGAGATTCTTCATTGCTGCAGGGCCAGATTGTGGTATGAATACAATTCTAGACCATAACTTGTTGAAAGTTGAAGTGCTATTCAAATATATTTGTATTTAAAATCCATAATGAACTATTGTTCAAAATGTGCAAAAAATAAACACCTGAAGTCTATGATTTTGTTTCTTTATATTTGCTAGGTATAAAAGTAGTATAATATTTCTGTATAGAAAAAGAAAAAAGACATTTTGTTTTGAAATATATAAATCCACTTTACACAGTTTTTGTCAGCAAAATACTTTTCATTTCAAAAGACATCTGTTTATAAGAAAAAGGAAATAGTTTGAATATGAAATATAATTTACAAAAAAAGCAAAATATATGTATGTACATATAATTCTGAACTTTGTAAACAATCAGTAAACTTTGTTTGTATTCTCCTCTCTACTTTATAAATATATGCCCTTAATATTGTTGTAAGCTATATTTTCAATGTTGTAATCTGTTTGCTGTCTAGAGGGCATATGACATAAAGATCAAGTGAGTTTATAAAAGTAATCATAGAATACTTAAAATGTTTGTGAATATCAGTGATTGAGAAAATTTACAAAGTGTCTAGAGACATGGCTACATTATAAGTACATGTATCAGTGAAGCACTGAGTCAGTTTTCATTTGATAGAGTGCTAGTCATTCAGTTAATAAGTGAAGTATTTGAACCATTGTTTGTTATTGCATATATTCAATTACTAAACTGATTAGTCATGAAATTGTAAACTTAAGTTTATTTGTACATTAGCCATAGTACCATTAGTGAGTAATTTCTGTTGAAAATAAAAATGTTATTTGTAAACTAGATTCTACAAATGTGTTCAAGGGATAGTATCCTGTAGCCAAAGTTAAGGAGTAGCAAGTTAACTTATCATTAAGTGGACTATACTTGGCCTTGTTTCTCATACAATGAAAACACATGTTAAAACATTGGAGCAAAAAGTGGGATTATTTTGGTAAAACAAAATATAACTTGACTCAATTTCAAAATGACAATCCGATCCAGAAGTAAGGTCCAAGTTCTGCTAGAAATGCTGAAAGAACAAGAAAGAAAACTAAAAGAAGGAGACAATATTTGAAGAAAAATTAAGGACAAAAAAATATGACTCAGGACAAAATCCACAAAGCTATTGGAGACAAGCAGATGGATTACAACAAGTTTGAAGAAATGTAAAAGGACAAAAAATTACAGGAAGGCTGTAATGAAAAAATTGAAGAAGTATAAAAAAGGTCAGTAACAGAACAAAGTCACTGGAAAACTTTTATCTGTTATTTTCACTAATGCATCTCTGTATGGGTTTGGTGAATTTGACTGAACTGACTTCGTAACCACCATAAAAACTAGGAAAGCACAAACCACCTACACCTTTTTTATGCATCTGCCCAAGAGTTCCAATCCAAAACATTATTTACTATTAAATATAGAATAGGAAAACATATTTGGTCTTCACTCATCAGTTACTGCAGAATACTCCTGAACTACTCTAGCCATGTCACTACCAAATCTACTTCACCAAATTAAAAAAAACCAATAGACTATGATGAACATGTACCATGAGACACACATCAGGCTCAGTTTTAAATAATTTCTAAAACGAAGAAATGGAATAGTGAACAATAAGCTATTCATCTTGCTGAAAACTTAAAACAACCAACTTTAACTTCATTAAGTAACCTTCCAGCTGAGAGCTGTAACAACTATCAAGCATTGGTGGTTGTCCTATGCAACATTTTCGATGTGATGCACAAGAAAAATGCACCATAAAAACTAGGAAATAGATATAAATTATGTTTTTTTGTTCTAGAATGGTTATAAATTATAACACGAAACCATAAATGTTTAGTCTAAATAGCTTAAATCCCATCAAATTATACATCTACAAATATATAAGTTATTATTATTTTATTGACTAACATTACAGAAGTTGTAATGACACAGAGCATGTGCACTTGTATTAGTGTATCTAATAGTATAAAACTGGCCTTTACAAAGTCACCTGTCTTGGCTTTGTTCTAGTGGACCAATATTTTGTAAAATATAGTCACATTTATTACTATCTACAAATACGTGCTTAAATTTTAGTCATTTTTCTAAGCTGTATTTGGGTCTAAAAATATTGTTTTTCAAACAACATTTTCACTTATCCCTTTCTTCCGAGATTTAATCAAAAAAAAACTTTCCATCTTCAAGAGCCTGAAAAACCACATGAGGAAATATTTCCAAAAATAGAAAAAGTGGATGGGGCCACTATATTTGATCTGCTAAATATAGTGATATTTCAGCAAATAGAAAATATAGGAGGTTTTATTCTATATTCTAGCTTGTCAATATCAGTAATTTGAACTTTTTAATTTGTAAAAAAACTATAGACTTTGTATTTGGACATCACAAACATCTAATTTGAACTAAAGCTGCATTCAACACACCACGTGACACACAAAAATCAATAATCAGGAATTTGTTTTTATATTTACTTTTAAATTAAGAAATTAACTAATTTATAATACTACAGCCTCAATTATAATCTGCAATTTGATACCAAACGTATTGAGATACATTCATAAAATAGTAGTTCAATAAAATGTTGAATGTAAGTCTACAAATGTGATGACATGCCCTTTGACCATAGGAAGACCTATAGTGATAGGGAGCTGTGCAGTTGTCAGTGGAACTTGAATCCATTATAGTTGCAGATAACCTACTAAAGACACTACCTAGAAGTTATGGGAATATAAGATCCTTTAGAATTGAAATGCCAACCCCCTATCAATAGCCTAGAAGAACTGAAAGAATTAATCAGATAGTTAATTACACAGAAAAGAGGAAATAAACCACAAGAAAACAGGTATTTCAAGTGTAACTTGAAAAAACATATTGTGAGGATGTGTAGATTAAAGTCTGTTTGAAATAAGAACTCCTCTAAGAGAATATTATAAAGGGGAGCTGTTATAATTGTAAAAATTTGGCCATTACAGCCGAGATTGCAAGAAATCAACAGTTGTTATGAAACCAAGGAAACAATACCTTGAGGATGTTTTTGAGCTCAACCAGGTCAAAGAAACAACAAAGAGCTAACCAGACATCAAAAAGGCAGGAACTATTTGGATTTATGGGGAAAGTTCTGCTGAAAATACTTAAACCTCATGCGGAATAAATTCAATATTTGAGAAAAATCATCCACAAGTTTATAGGTTTATTGATGAAAAACCTTTCAGTATGTAGATTGACACTGGTTCTACAGCTGTAATTGTTCGAACCTATTTGATAGTGAAAGATGGAAAATTGCCTCCAGAAATAAGAGTAGAAGAGGGATGAATGCAAACAGCAGGTAGACATAAAGTTCTAGCAAAAGGAGAAGTTGAAAGTTACTCTTACTGTAGGATGCTTTATTACACCTCATGATGTGTGAGTAACTGAGATCAAAGAAGAGTGCATACTGAGAATTGACTTCATGCAGACACATGAATACAAAGTTAGACTAGTTTCAGATAGCTTTGCAGTCTATGACCAGCAAATCCCAGTGCACTACATGAAAATTATTACCCCAGAGGTTGGACTTCTCATACGAACAATGACAGTAACCACTGAAATACTCCCACCACAACTTGTTAAAAATAAATTTACATCTAGTGATGGCCCATAATAGAACCAAGCACTCTAACATGTTCTAATGTTTGGTAGAACTCTCATGGATCTGAAGAATAAAGATGTCATCATTACAGTCATGAACACAACTAATCATAAAATTCAAATCAACTCTGAGTGAGATAATAAAAATTATAAAGCTATACAGGTAATATTTTCACAAAAAAGAACATCAAAAGTAGTCACCTTTGAGGAAAGATGTAGAAAGTCTGATGTCCAATCTTTACATAAGAACAGCATAGCACCTCACTTATAAGAGCTGTATAACCAGAGTTGTGGAGGTCTTACAGCTGATCAGTGCTAGAGATTACGTAACTTGGTCACAGAATATCAGGATATCTTCACCAATGGAGGTTGAACAAATAAAAAATGTCAAACTGATACTGGAGATACAGCCCCAATATGTTAGTTAGCCAGATGACTCCCATATGTAAAACAGGCCGAGACTTTCAAAGAGATAGAAGCCATGAAAGAACAAGGAGTGACAGAACCAAATACTAGTCCTTACACATCAACTGTTGCACTTCTGAGAGAGAAGGATGGATCCACAATATTCTGTGTGGACTACTGTAAGATGAATGAAATCACAAAGAAGGATGCATACCCACTTCCAATAACTGACTCACGTTTCTGGATTAAGATAGTTTTGAACATTGGATCTTAAGAGTGCATATTGGCTACAAAACAAGTAGTAGAGAGAAGACAGCCTTTATTGCAGGAAATGGATTGTAGCAATTTGTGCTTCCATTTGGATTATATAACACACTTGTTCAATTTTAATGTTTAATGGAGAGTGTTCTGACTGTGATACCCTAGTCATCTACTTGATTGACATAATTACACATTGCAGTACTTTTGATAATGCCTATGATGGGCTAGGGAACATGCTAGATTAGTTGAGGATAGAAAACCTTAAGATGAATCCTAAAAAGTATAAGTTGTTCCATCAACATGTGACTTTCCTGGGATACATAGCCAGCAATGAGTGAGTGTCTATAGATCTAATGAAGACTAATTCTGTCCAGTATTGGCCAACACCAAAGAACCTGCATTACATAAGAGGCTTTCTGGGACAGTGCTCTTACTATCATCATTTTGTAAAATCATCCTCTGATACAGCTCGTCCTCTACACAAATTACTTGATAAGCCAAATACACTTTGTTGGATTGCTGACTGTGAAAAAACATTCAACAACTGACAAAGGAATTGACCACTACTCCTGTATTAGCATAACCAACTCTGGAAGATCCACTCATTCTATATATATATATAGATGCCAGCATTTTTACATTGGAAGCAGTTTTGTCACAAGCACAACACTGAAAAGAACATGTGATTGTCTACTATAGCAAGGCAATGAATGATGCAGGGAGGGGTATTGAACAGACTGAAAAAAGCTACTAAGTGCTATTTGAGCTCTAAGTCATTTCCATCATCACCTATATAGGTATATGTTTACAATTTTGTCAGATCATGTACCAATGAAATGGCTGCTGAATTTTTGCAATCCAGGAGACCAGATAGCAACATGATTCCAACAACACCAGCAGTAAAACTTTAACATCATGCATTCCATTTGATGGAACCATGGAAATGCTGATGCATTATTCCAAAGACAATGTGTTACTGAAGAATGTGAAAAGAGGGAAACACGTGATGGTAAATACTACCAACCTAAAGAACAGCAGAGTATAGTCCAAGTTGTGACATCCATAAGTGCTTATGAAGAACTAATATGGTCCAACACTTAAATGAAAGATGCTCAAGCTATGAGTTTGAAACCAACTATTCAGTGGATAAAGAATGGAACAGAAAGACCCTCATGGAAAACAGTTGCTCCATACAATCTGAAAACAAAGATGTACTGGGTACAATGAGATTCATTATGCTTATAAGAGAGTATGTTATGCCAGAAATGAGAAGATACTAGTGGAAACTACAGTTACTATTTCCACAGTCTCTACATTCTGAAGCACTCTGTTATCTCTACAACTTCCCAAAAGCTGGACATTTAGGGGTTAAAAGTAAAATGGAGCAAGTCAGAGAACACTTGTATTAAATTGGGTGCTAGGGTCTGTTGAAAATTGGTGTAAAACATGTGAATTATGCTGTGAGCAAAAAGGTTCAAGAATGAAACGGTATGGGCAGCTACACCAGTACTGTGTAAGAGCACCACTTGAGAGATTTGCTGTCAATGTGCTTGGTCCTCTGCCACAGAGTAACAGTGAGAATAAATCCATCAGGGTTGTGATGAATAACTTCATAAAATGGCCAGAAGTATATGCTGTTCCTAACCAGGAAGCAGAACTTTTACAAGGAAACTCCTCAATGAATTTGTTTCAAGAACTTGCATGCCTGTTGAATTTCACTCAAATCAGGGATGGAAATTTGAATCAGCCTCTTTTGCTGAAATGGGTCAGATCCTTGGGATCACAAAGACCAAGATATCAGCTTTTCATCCTTCTTCTTATGGCATGATGGAGAGATACAACTGCACACTGTTAAATCAAGTAGCCATTTATGTGGATTAACATTAGAAAACATGGAATCAAGATGTTTCACTGTTAATGATGAATTACTGTACAATCATTACTTATATATGAGAAAGAATTTTGGGCTATTGTATCTTCTGTATCTCAACTAGAAAATAATCACTAAAAATTCTTACAAAGAATATGTGGAGGGAATAAAGAATACCATTGAGGGCATATATGGCTAACCAGGAAAGACTTAAATCAGCTAGTGGTAAAATGAAAATTTGCTATGATGTTAATGCTGATATGAATGGGTTTCATTTAAGTGACATGGTATAGCTGTATTATCTCCCCCACAAGAAAGGACAAACTCTAACAGTAAGCAGGTGTTGAGAATGGTCATATGTTATAATAAAAAAAATCAATAATACAGTTTTCAGAATCAAAACAGACAAACAAACCAAGCCAAAGGTCTTTGGAAGTATGTCCGTGAGAGATCAGCCAACTGGATATCTCTAGAGAAGTATTTGTCAGCAGAAACTCAACCTGATGAGAAGCCCAGAGTTCATATTGAGGGTACTTCCAGAGGATTAACAAGGATAGAGCCACCAGTAGATAAAATCGATCACATGCTCGGGGAGAAATCCTCCAGTGACAGTATAGTAAATGATGACATGAGACAAGAGGCCATCTCATCTGTGTACCATAACCCCCAGAAAAGAAACCACCAAAAAGACTTGGTTAATGGACAGTTTAGTGTAATTTTATTTTTAATTTTTAGTGTATGTTAGTTGTAATACCATTAGCAAGTAAACTGCTGTTGAAAGTGAAAACATTATTTGTGATCTAGGACTTACAACTGTGTACAAGGGATAGTAGTCTGTAACCAAAGTTAAGGAAAAAATAAACTAATTTGTTATCTTTAAGTGGACTGTACTTAGCCTTATTTTCATCAAATAATTAAAACAAAAAACACAGCAAAAGCTAAATACACTTAGTATAAGATCCTGTACTTACATTTTTGTGATTCACAAGTTTCATCAATTTAAACTCCCTATAAGCCCTTTTGGCATGAGTAACATTCTGGAAAGGTCTGCTGAGTTTTTTTATAGCTACTTGCTTTTCTGTTATTTTGTCAAGAGCAGAACTAGAAAAAAAATACACAAGTTTTCTCAGTGTGTGTCCAGTTAATTCCAGCATTCATTTTAATGAATAAATATTGAAAAGAACACAAGCAACAGACTGCAAACAAAATGACTTAACAATAAACACACATACATACATATAGTAAAAAAAACAAAAATATTTTTCACACCAAGGCATTTAATGACACAAACCTTAAAGGTGAAGTTTATGCTTTTTCATATGATTACAGACCTTGAGTTTGGAAACTGAAATGACATAATTCAGATGTTGTACAAGTTATACTTCCTCCCTTTTCATATAAAAAGGCTTTTGCACATAAGAATTTATTGCACAAAATTATAGACATAGTTCTCACTAATTTTGAACAGACAGATTACAGGGAAGATGGCTATTAAACAGCACCCACTGCCAACTTTTAGGCTACTCTTTCTGACTGAATAGTTGGATTTTACCATCACCTATTTTATGCACCCAAGGCCCCAAAATCTGGAGCTCATTTTAGTGAATCTTAAGATTCACAGTCCGAGCATTGTAACCACAAGGCCATGCCTGGCCCTATGATGACAATCATTTATACATCTTGTAACCAGACAGGTTTAAATATTTAAAAGATTAATTATCGTAATGAAATTGTTTGTCTCTTGAATTTTCAAGTAAAGTTACTCCAGGGCTATATTTGCTAGCTGTCTCTAATTTTGAAGAGATTTGATAGAAGAAGGCAGCCAATCAACATCATCCACCACCAACTCTTGGTCTTTACTTTCCTAAAAAATAATGGGATTGACCATCAACTTATAACAACTCCATGGCTAAAAGAGTGAGCACGTTTGTCGATGGTTTTTGATCCTGTGATTCACCTTTGTGAGTCGAACATGGGAACATATTTATTCTCAAGCAAAAGACAGTTATTTTGAAGATGACACATTTGCTATTTATGTAATGGTTTACTAGAATTTATAGATCTTAGTAAAACAATAAGTTTCATCGTTTCACTTACACCATGGATACCATATGTAATTTAATTGAGAAGCTAGTATCTACAGCTTATTTTCACAACAAGTAAGGCCAGATAGATAAAACAAGACAAAAAGTTTATTATATAGGCCCAGAACTAGAAATTACCACAACCTTAAAATATTTTCAAGTGTGATTGAAGCACCACTTATTATCAATATTTGATCGGCCACTAATTGTTTTGTTTTGAATTTTTCACAAAGCTACATAAGGGACTAGCATTCCATAGTTTAGCAGTGAAAGACTAAGAGTGAAGGTAGCTAGTCATCACCACCCACCACCAACTCTTTTACCAACAAAAAGTGGGATTGACCATCACATTATAATGTCCCCACAGCTGAAAGAGCAGGCATGTTTGGTTGGACAGGGATTTGAACCCACTACCCTCAGATTGCGAGTCAAGTGCCCTAGCCACCTGGATATGCCGGGCCTCGAGAGAATAAATACGGTTAGAATATTGAAATAAAAGTTATCAAATCATTACAATAAAACTGTTAAATTATTGCATTAATGTGGTCAAAGTATCACAATAAAACTGTTAAATTGTTACTTTAAAAAGTTTAATCGTTTAAAGCTTTAAAACGTTAAATGATTTAATCATTATAATGAAAATAGTCAAATAATTACAAAGCAACAGTAAAATCATCAAATATAACAGTTAACTTGTTACAGCAAAAACCGATAATTAACAGCACTAACAACAGTTCATTAGAAAATAATTAAACTATTATAATAATCACTAATAATTTATTGCATAAAAATGACTGATTCATAAGAACAAAGCGGGTAAGCTAAGAGAGAAAGAATATTTGTAGGAATGTCAAAAAGAATAAATGTTATTGCAACTAGTGTGAGAATTATTGTGTTGAAAGTCAACTGGTTTCAAGTGAGGACTTGTTTGTTTGAAGTTAAGCACAAAGCTACACAATGGGCTGTCTGTGCTCTGTGTGAGAAGGGATTCAAACCCATGACCCTCAGATTGCAAGTTAAGTGCCCTAACCACTGAATATGATATCTATGTGACAACAATTTTCATCTGGTGTCACCCAACAGTGAGGTGGACATTGCTTTAAGTTTAAGTCTATAAATATATATATAAACACACATTATTTACTTTTTTGTGCAATACATCTATCAGGTTCATCAAAAATATGGGAAAAAACTCTTTTGTTTATGGTTTCTCAAAATACCTGAGGGGATTATTTTTTAAATGTGGCTTAAGCAAAGGACACATTCAAACAGTAATAAAACCCCTAAATGTGTACAATTTTCTCGTTACTTCTGATCTACAAAGATCATCAAATCCGTGTGAAAATCAAACTATTGAATATTCAATACTAAAAGTTGTTCTTGATCTTTGTTAGAACAACAAAGTATAACACAATATAAATATTCAGGACTGGTAACACTAAAAATAAAATACAGTATAAAGGTAAACTTTTGCTTAAAATTTATAGCGTTTAAACGTCTGTTAGCCAGGAAAAAAATTCCGTCAACACAAGTAACGTTGGTTTAAACATTATATTTAGTGTATCATCAGCACTGTGATACTGCATTTTTGGATGGTTTGAATACAAAGTTAAAATATTACCGAGTTCAAAACTATATATCGCATTATATCTATCAGACATAACAATAACATCAATTTAGATTATTGTCCGCTACAGTTTAGTAGTTGTAAAAAAATTACATTCGTGTTTAAATGCTTATTCTCAGGCATTTGTATTATTTTTCCCAACTAAGTGTTATTTTCATATCCCAGTTCTGTTAAGAGCTCTTAAGTGGATCATAGATCCAAATTAATTCTTTAGCAATAGAAATATGATATATTAACGATTCTAAGATTGCTGTTTATGGCAAAACTACTAAGGCTATGTGCCACGGTCCTAAATTTTGATTTGCCAACTACAGGGGTGGCAACTGGCCAGCGTCACCCACCGTTAACTCTTATATTATTCTTTATGAACAAATAGTGGGATTAGCCGTAACATTATAACGCTGCCATGATTGAAAGGGCGAGCATGTTCGGTGCTGAGTAGAGATTCTAACTGTATTTAGATGAATACAAGAACCTGACTTTGTAGGATGAAATTTATAGCAGTAAACTAAAGTGTAGCTTACACTCCTTAAATAATGCTGCGAATAAAAGTAAGCTACTTACTAGATGACGAGGAACCCACTTTGAGACTAATAATGCTTGGAGACGGCTTGAATGAGTAATGAAGAAAAACTTTAATATAAGTTTAACATAACAGCA